CGGCAAAGGAACAGCTACACCAAAACGGTAACAGCCAACCCCCCGTAACCCCCCCCCCCCTTCATACCCTGACAGATGACTTCATATAATAATATAATGTATCTGTGTTTCCAGTGTGAGAACGGCCAGGAGTCGGGCTCAGTCACCCTGTTCTCCGGGTCAGTACCCTCCTTCCCCGCTCAGACACAGGGCCTCCACTCCTGGTACTGAAGACAAGGTTCATCCTGAGGTCAAAGGTCACAGCACCCTCGAGAGAAAATCCACCAAATCTGAGAATTCAGAGAAGAAGATTCCTAAATCCACCAGCAGGGAACTAACTGCAGGTAAACACACGGTGTCGGACCGAGGCTCCGCAGCTTTAGTTTAAAATGGAACTATAACTATATTGAGCCGCCTTTTGTTGTTCTCCACACACAGAGTCCCCGTCGACACCTACAGGAGGCAGGAGCGTCGGAGGCACGACAGATGCTGAGGAGGCGTCAAAGCTGCTGGCAGAGAGACGGCGTCAGGCCAGAATACAGAAGGAGCTGGAGGAGAGGCAGAGGCAGGAGGAGGAGAGGTGTGTGTGTGCGTTCGTGTGTATCTACATATATATATATATATATACTGTATATATTAACTAGCAACTATCCCAATTATAAAAATGATTTAGACCAGGTTAACCCTTTTCTATCCCCCTTTATAAAAATGATTTAGACCAGGTTAACCTTTTTTCTAGGGATAGTTTGTGACCACATCTGTGTAAATGTAACATTTATAAAATGTCTGCAGACTGAGGGCTGAGGAGGAGCAGAAGAGACTGCAGGAGGCCAGGGAGCGGCAGCAAAGGGAGGCACAGCAGGCAGAGGAAGAGCGAGCCAGGAGGGAGGAAGAGAGGAAGAGCAGGGAGGATGAGGAGAGAAAACAGAAGGAGCAGAGGTGGAAGGACATGGAGGAGCAACTGGACAGAGAGGTCAGGACTTTGTTTCAATTCTGCCCCAAATCTCACTCTGAATGTTACACACTGGAGATTTTTACTTTTATTTTTTAACTTTGTGACTACTTCAGAGGGAGAAAGCTATTCTTAAGGCCCAGAGAGAAGCTGAGAGGAAGAGACAGGAGAGGGAGCTGCTGCACATCCAGGAGGAGCAGGAAAGACAGCAGAGGAAGAAGGTACGGCACTCAGCAAAAAAACCTGACTAAAAACATTTTTTAAATATATATTTTTTAACTTAAAAAGACATATATACCTTTGACAATGTCTGAACTAATGTTTTTTTAAACAGAGAATTGAAGAGATAATGAAAAGGACCAGGAAGAGCGAAGTAGAGACCCCATCTGGTGCCTTAGGTGAACAACACATACACACACATTAACAATCTGGATCCTTTTATATCTGTTAGGATTGTACTTAATTTCCATATATTGATTGTCTTTTAACTCCACTGACTCAGCACAGTGGGACAGTAGAGGCCACTTGCGACATCTCTGTGAGGATTATCAAACAGTAAAATAACACAAAAATTAAAATATTTATACATTTGTTTTTTCTAGGAGCTGAGCCTTCTGCTGCCGTAGAGGAAGAGGATGCTGCGACTCCCGCTGAAGCTCCTGCCACCACTCCGGGCCCGCTGGAGAGTAAGAGCTGTGTGGACGAGCTGTCAGATGGAGTCCAGTCCATGGACGTCAGGTAGGACAGGTACATGGGTCCAGCCCAAGATCACATGGAAAAATAAAAACAAAACTTATTAAACCACTCATTCTTTTACAACCATGGAAAAAACAGTGATTTACCTGATATTTAATGTTCTGGTCTTTACTCAGATCTCCATCCGTCCCTTTGAAAACTTGCTAACATCTGAACTGTTGTCTCTGTCATCATCGTCGTCACTTTAAGTTCTCCGTCTGTCTCCATCAGTCCTGTGTCCAGGGACGAGCACGTCAGTGTCCATGAGTTCTCACCAGTCACTGATGGCACGGATGGCTGTCCCCTGGAGCAGCTGATGGACATGGAGGCCCAAGGGCGGGCCCAACGACACAGCGCAGACACGTCTCCTTACCCCAAACTGCAGGCTGGCAGCGGAGTCGGTGACCTCAACAAGAACCTGCTGATCCAGGCATACAACGCTGCCTCTGAATCCTCCCAGCTCATCCACAGCGTTGGGCCGAGCAAACTGGACGTCCAATAGGCAGGTGGAAAAACTTTTTTTACCTCTGGTTAACAGTTCATATTTATAAAAACAAGAATATCACATAAGTCAATATTCCCATGCATTTTCATCTTATTCATAAAAAATAACATTTTTAAAATTTTAATTTGTCTCTTTGATCTACAGTAAAACATAGTTGCATTAGAGATCTAGTAGGGAATTAATTTTTTTTGTTGACTTTTTCTACACTTTCCGTTTCAGGTTCTTTAAGGAGCAACTGGAGCCAAGATCAACCTTCTGCCACAGCAACAGTGGCCAATCCAGCAGAAAACAACAGCTACATTTGCTCGTCTGTATTATCAGAACATACACGCGTACACACACATACACACATGGTGTTGAGCTTCTAGTCACATGATCAGGTCGTTGCTTATGGACAGGATTTATTTTTTAAATGTACAACAGGGTGCAACAAAATCATGCTAATGTGACTCTGACGTAGTATAACGACTGTACATTTATGCTTTATCTAATGTATCTGAAAAAAGACAACTTTGTTAATGTTTTGGGGATGATTTAAGGGATTGAGCTATTACTTGATTGATGTCACTTTAAAGGTGTATTTCTGGCATTTTGAAGTGTGTCTGTTAGAGCCATATTATTATACACTTGAATATAATTTGTGTCAGCTCCAGTCCCAACCAGAAACGTGACTTTCTCACTTTCCTTCAACAAAAACAATTGGGAAAATCAACAATTTTAGCTTCTCCTAACTTGACTCAGGAACTTTGGTGTACTGCTGTCCCGTGTGGTGAGTTAAGTAAACATCAGGAGAGCATTTTAAACCTCAAATTCACAAGTTGACTGGTGTAAAAAATGATTTCTTTTAAGGTCAGTAACAGTGTGATCAGTTGCAGCAGTTCTCCATTTCCCAGAGGGTTTTATGGGAACATCAAGCAGAAAGAATGTTTAAATGACTCATACAACCACACTTCAAGGAACTCCAACCATCCTTTTAATCTGCACACATTTTGCCACTTTATCCTTTCAGGCTATTTGCACATATTTTTTGCCACACTTTTACACCTTTTTTTCTTTAAATCACTGAGACTCATCGACATTAAATATGAAAGGATTATGATCTGCTGTAATCTAAAAAGATGTAAATAACGACTGAGCTGTGGAGTCAAGAGAGCAGCCGTGTAGCAGTAAAAAAACAGATGCTGTTGTGGTGAATTTTGTGTAGCATCTTCTGCAAGGACCATAAACTGTATATAAGATGGACAATGTCCTCAGTTTTGAAAAAAAAGGTTCTACTGGATGACCATTAGTGGGTGATATTAGATGATAAAAGGAGTACATTCACATGTAGATATTGTGTCTGGTTAGTTGTGTTTCCACTGCAAACTACTTGAAATTTGAAATAGTAGGATTTTAATGTAAATTGATTTTGTTAGGAATGGATGCTTGTATTTCCAAACGTAATAGTTATTATGCAAATTAGTTCCAAACCTCCAGTCTCCAGTTCTTGGCTAAAAAAACAGTCCCCAGTAATCCCTGGTACCAGACTTAGTCCTGGTAGTTCTTGGTACTAGTTCCTACAGTGGAAACACCTCCTACACCCCACCACTTCTGCAACAGCTAATGCACTTTTTTTATGTTTTCCTGTACGTGTTGGCTTAAGACTCTTCACATAAGCTCATCGTCCTTCTTCTGGATTCTGCTGCAACTCTACAAAAAGAATGCCTCCTCCTACAAAGCATCAAATAAAGGACACCATGTTTAATCCTAATATAACATAAATAAGCCATGACACTGCAGCTTGGTGAAGTATATCATTGTAGATGTGGTGCATGGATTACTGCTGTAAAAAAGAAAAACAGAACAATAAAGTTAATCATTAAAATCATTTGTGCGTTTTTGTTTTGTTTGTCCCAAAACAACACTCAATGATGACCTCTGAACTTTGATGTCGTCATGTCATGAAATTTGCTTTAACTTAACATTGTTTTCATAAAAAATATTATTTTAACACATACCTGCCTGCATGAGGTGTTATGATGGAAGATTCAAGCAAATTTGAACATTGTGATATTGTTTGAGGCCACGAAGTACAGTTAGAAGGATCAAAAGGGAAGAATTTAAAAAATTTAAAAGCTTTTAAAGTGAAAAACTCGAAGCGGAAGTTGTCAAATTACTCCGTCACGGCAGTATCCGGAAGACTACGCAACTAATTAAAATCGTATACGCAGCTTATTTTCGTTTACATTTTCTCACTCACAGATCACAAATTACGGCTTATTCATATATGCGTGGTGTTTAAGAGGGGTATTATTTTATCAGATACATTTGGGTGGTCGCGGAGTTGCGTTGCGGTCGTCTTCTCCACAGCTAACGTTAGTCGCGTTAGCTCGACGTGTGTCAGAGTCTAAGGTAAGTCAACGGCTTTAGCATTTTGGAACCTAGCTTCAACATCAAATAATTTACAGTAAAGATATTACACTGTATAATGTTTGCTAAAATATATTATTACATTTTAATGTTGTTAATGAGCAATAGGACTGGTTTAAAATGTTAAGCGTTTACGCGGGGACAATATTACATAATAACTTTAACGGTTTTTCAGCTCTGTCGTGTTATTGTTTAATTCAAGTCAAAGGGGATTTTTTTTATTTATTAATTGATTAATTAATATAAATATCTTAAATTGAAATGAGATGTACCCTAAAGTTCGTTTGCAGATATATCAGTTTGAATGAAATTAATTTTATTACTGAATTTACATTGTTTTACATTACATTAATGCTTGATTTGTCAATTAAGTGAATTAAAAACAGTCTTGTCATTTAGGTTAACAAAATGTCCAGACCACGGTCCCGGTCTCCACACCGCAGGTAAAGACTCTGGCATAATTTAATTCTGAAATGGTTGTACCTTCAATATTTGTTTTAGATTATGTATATTTTATTTTTGGTTTTTCAGGCGTTTACCATGGGAGGAACGTGGTTTTATCCCTGATAAAGTCATTGCACAACTAGAAGGAAATTTCCCGGACAGGAGTCGACAGTACAGAGAGAATCGGAAAGAACAGTGGGATTGCATCAGTGAAGACATGTACACAGAAGCTGGAAGAAGAATTACTCCATTGAAAGAAGATCGTAAGCTTGGACATCAACGCCGTCCAGACAGGGAGGAGCTCCACTACAGGACACAATCACCTCATTATGATCCACCAGTTTATGGTGGTCAGAGGCGATACACAATAGGGAATGAAGAAAGACGAAGAGAAGGGCCTAAAGAACACTACCAGAGTTTTGCCACCAAAGTGAGGTTGTCCCCTTTACCCTTAGAGTCGATTAGAGGAAAATTCCACCCAACACAGGGGTCTC